TTTCTCTTCCCTACTCTTCTCCCCCCCCCCCCCGCCCCGCCTTCTCCATCCCCATTGCCACTACTGCTGTTCTACTCCAGGTACTGACTGGATTGTAGCCAGCAACCCTGCATTGCACAAGTCCGGGGGGGTCCCCTTTCCCTTGTGGTCTGTGAATGCAGCTCCTGGAGTTGTGTGGCACACGGTCTGCATGCCAGGCTCCCTGCCTGCAACGCATCTTATGTGGTTTCATCGTTCTCTTCCCAAAAGAGCCACTCCCCTGCTCAGGAATCATCAGTGCCTTTGCTTGGCTAATAAAGTCGAATTCCTTACTATGGCATCTAGGACTTTCTCGTCTGTTCCCAGTCTATTTTCCCAGCCTCTTCTCCCGTCCCCCATGAGCCCTCACGAGCTATATGACATTGGGCAAATCATTTAACTTCCCCGAGCCTGTTTCCTCATCTGTCAGATGAAGGTGGTAACAGCAACTCCCTCAGAAAGACAGTGCACGCAAAGTGCCTGTCCAGACACTCCAGCCCTCCTGCCTGGACAACACTAACCCTCCCCAGACAGCTCTGCCCTTTCCCACTCTCGCGTCTTTGTTCTTGCTGTTCGCTCAAGCCCGAGTACCCTTTTTCTGCTCCACATTTCCTGTTACCTGTTGAAATTCTATTCTTCCTTCAATCCCCAGATGAAACCCCATCTCCCCAGTGAAGCCTTCCCGGATTCCCCCCAGGAGGAATTCATCTCTCTGCTCGGTGTTCCTGTGGCACTGATTTATGCCTCATTTGTGAAACGTATATCACATCTCAAATTACACTTATTTCTGGACTTGTGCCCCCCCGCCGTACTGTGAACTCCTTGGAATCAGGGACCGTGTCTTCCGCTCAATTTAGTAAATGGTGGTGAGCGCCTACCAGGCTGGTGGTGAGGGGACACGGGAGCGAACCAAGAAAGTCCTGTCCCAGAGTGTCCACTGGCGTGGAGAAGTCAGTGATTTGAAGCGTGAGCGAGCCTTGTGACCAAAGGGAAGTGCAAGATGCTGTGGGAGCATGCGCCAAGGGGACACGGCCTTGTCTCAGGCAGCGGGTTCAGCCTGGCCTCTCCAGTGACAAGCGGTACCTGGCAGAGGCCTTGTATGAGACTTGACTTCCAGTGCCCGCAGCTACTCCTGCCCCGGAAGCTGGTTCTCCCTGTCAGCTCCCTTGGAGCAGGCTGCTCAGGCCAGGCATCGATGGCCTGCTGCAGGCCATCCGGGCTGGGGTTGCTGTGGCCCCTTTAAGAACAGGCCCCACGTGCACCACTGCTGGCGGCCCTGCCTCCTGTCAGCCTTCTTCCTCCAGCCTCACAGCCACAGGAGGATTTCTCAGCAAAGAAGAAATTCCCCCCTTCCCTTCTCCCCACCCCCTGTTTAATGCCCGGGGCCCTTCACTTCCATAATTCTTCATTTTCCAGCCTTGAACGTAAGCCAGACACATCTGTCTGGCCATATGCGTGAACCCTGGAGTCTGTGCCGAGGTGGCTGTAAAACAGGGCCGGTGAAGGCCCTTCTGGGAGAGCACACACATGTGTGTGCCCTCGGGCCATTGGCTCCCTGCCCAGAACCACGGGGCTGCAGTGCTCCAAACCCATGTTAACCTCTTCTTATTTTCCCTCTTTTTGTTTAATTTAAGGGGGGAAAATCCCAAGGAAAAGGTATAAATTGCCCTGGGAGTGGGGGAGAGGCTCCTAGCTGGAGAGGCCATTATTGTTGGCAGGTACCTGGGTCACACTAATACAATAAGGAAGAGAGGAGCATCGGGTGAATTAAGATCGGAGAGATGGGCTGTAAATTACTCTGCTCCGAACTCCATCAGTCTCCAGGGGTGTTAACCGAGAGGTGTAAGGCAAGTCCCCAGCTCCCAGCGCCTTTTACAGATGCAGCAAAACAGGAACCACATATGTTTGGGGAAGGGGATGTGAAGGTGGGGTTGAAAAAAATCCTTCTGGCCCCCATGCTGGCTGTAAAGTCCAAATGAGATCTCGGGCCGTAGCCACACCCCCACTTCCCCGCTCCCACCGAGACCCCCGGGCCTAAGCTCATCTGTGGGATGGGGGAGGTGAGGCCTGGCCTCCCTCTGCAGCCTGTCCCTCCCTGCTTCCGGTGTTGCACAGAGGCTGGTGAGTGGGGCCGACTGGAGGTCAGAAAAGGGGTGTGGGCAGCTCTCAGGACCTGTGCAGCTGGAGCCTCGGCGCCCAGGCAGGCCTTGGATGCTGGGGGCCAAGTCCGCCCACCCAGGGCTTCGAGGCCGCACTCTCCGGCTCAGCCCAGGCTTTGCCTGTTGCCTGAGACAGCTCTTCACCTCGTGCTGGTTGAGCCCACCTTGCTGCTTTCCTCCCGAGTTCTTTCCGTTCCCGCTGCCATTCTTGAGAGGCATCCAGAAACCAGAGCAGGGTACACGGTTTGCCTGGGATACTGGTCAGGAGTGTTTCTTTCCTAACCGGGCCCTCAGGGCAAAGCAGTCACTGACCGTCCTCCTCCGGGCTAGAGGCGTGGCCTCTTGGCACCTCACCCTGGCCCTGGCCCTGTGCATCCCCACCTCCTCTCTGCCTCCACGAGGCTTTGCTGTGATTTGTGCTGCTGTCGGGTGGGGTCAGGTTTCCTGAGCAGTTGCAAACATCCCACCTGAAACATAACAGGCTCTTCCTCTGGCCACAGCTATTGTTTCCTCGGCATTATGGCCACAGTCTTGCTCTGTAGCCAGCAATGACATGTGTTCTGAAAATAGCTTCACTCCCCTGTCCCCTTCCCGCCCACCCACCCTCCTGAAGATGCAGTCACTCCTTTGTGGTAGCCCCAGGAGTTTCACTCTAAATATAGCTGCAGCCCATTCACATTGCCACCCAGCTGGGGGGGGGGGCCCGCTGTGGAACAATGGGGCATGCACAGAGCCCCCCACACCTGTATGGAATCTAGCGGAAGGCAGACACTCAGCCCTGGCTCCTAGCTGTCGGAGACAGGGTGGGAGCCAGCGCACTACCAGGCCAGGGGCACGTTCACGCCAGGGCCCGTGGGGCCAGGCGGCCGCCCTCCCCACTCCAGCACATTCCAGAGTTTGCTCCAGCCATTCTCACCTCCCTGGTTCCAGCAGCATCCACAGGGTCCTGTCCTCCTACAGAAATGGTCAGTCTTTTGGCTGGAATACCCTTAGGCTGCTGCTTGTAGCAAGCTCAGGGGTGTCATGCTTAGCCCTGCCATTCCCTGTCTATCTAGAAAGGGCAGTAAGAAGTAGCAGGCAAATCATCATAATTATAACCTTGAAAAAGATAGCAAGTATGTGTTAAGCTTTGTGGTATTGACTTTGGATATCCAGAGAAGGGATCCTAAGCAGAAACTTTCCAATGAGCAACCCACCCCAAATCAAGATGCTAACAGAAACCAGTGGCTCTGCCTGCTTTCTATAGCAAATGCAGAATCTGCACCCTTTGGTTTTTGCAGCTCAAGAAGGAGTGCCTGGGACTTCCCCGGTGGTCCAGTGGTCCACGCTTCCACTGCAGGGGGCACGGGTTTGATCCGTGTTCAGGGAACTAAGATCCCGCATGCCGCGCAGTGCGGCCAAAAAAAAAAAAAAAAAAAAAAAAACCCGCTGGTGGTTATCTCACCAGCTATTCCTATTAATATTTCATTTCCATTTTTCCATTTTTTGTTTTTTAAAAATACTTCTACATAGTTAAAGAAAAAAAGGGAAAAAAACCCCCAAACACCAAGAGTGCCACGAGTTTTGTAATAGAAATCAGCAGTGCACTGCCTCACCCCTCCCCAGCTCCAGCTCTGCTCCCTAGTGGTTTCCGCAGATATTTACCTCCCATGTCTATTTTAAACATCAACTGGGAAGTACGACACTTTGAGTGTCAGCAGAACTACCTTCATCACTGAAATTTGTTAAGTTACTAATACGTGTATCAGGCATTTAGCTAGATACTTTCACATACAAGATGAGGGTGGAAATTTGCTATGTTACCAGACTTCTCATTTCTGGTGAAGACATTGCTCTGGCCAGAGAGGCCCAGGTATAAATGATTCCATCACCCTGTAGAGGGAGGGAAGCAGCTACACTCCCTTTGGAGCCCTACGCAGAAGGGCTTCTAAGGCCTTCTCTAGATCTGGCTCTGCTTTGTGATCTGAGTTCTTCAAGTCCCACAACTCCCGTGTGAGCTAACTGCGTTACCTTTATTTGTAATTCTCGGTGTCTCAATTTCCAAAAGGGTCAGTCACCCCCAAATCATTCCCACCATCTAGAAGAAGGAACTTAACCTGTGAAAGAGCCCTTCCTGGGGACCCAAGCGTGTTAGCTTCCTCGTCAGATGTTACTGTGGACTGTCTCTTTCCCAGTTCCCCACCACCTTGCTCAAGGATGCCTCCGTCCTTCAGAGAAAGTTGGTTACTTAGCGCCTTCCAGAAACAGAATTAAGTTCTTTTCTTCTTCACACTTTCTGACTTTATGGTCCGTGTTGCCACTGGTCTGATTCAACATGTCCTTGCTTTCCTAGGATTCCCAGCTCACTGTCCAAGGACCACTGTGGCCCAGCCTCAGCTGCAGTGAGAAGGGTTCCTATGGAACTCTCCTTCCGGGTCAGCACACTTGACTCCAGGCCAGGGCCAGTCCGTCTGAATCACAGCATTCCAGTTGCACCCCCCTCACCCCCACCAGAGGCTTCTGCAGCTTTTTGCTCATACAAACAAAAATAAATCTCACTACCGGCCTCTGAACTCCACAGCAGCATGCTTCCCCCTTCTCCCCAAGCATCCCATGGCTGTGAGTGGGGACTTGGCGCTCTCCCCACCGACATCACTTTTTCACTCCCTGCGCATCCTGTGTCCTTCTCTCACCGTGCGACCCAGAGATCAGAATGGGACGTGACGGCCGGCACAGGCGCCGTGCACAGCTGCCAGGAATCTGACGGGTAAAATCTGGAAAAGTTGGGAGGGCAAATGCGAAACACACACACACACACACACACACACACACACACACACACACACACACACACACACAGCGCCACTCACAGAGGGCCGGAAACACCGACACCCACAGACGAGGGGCTGCGCATTCCCAATCCTTCCTTGTCTGCCGTTCTTTTAAGGGGACTGGGCCAGTCTCCTGACCCAGGTATGACCCCCCAGAGTCCCACTGGTACCCCAAGAGAAGGGGGAGCGGCTTCAGTGAATCTCCCGAGACTCCAGGAGGGCATGTGGGGAACAGGAAGCAGTTGTGCAGTGACTCACTGGGCAGAGCCAGGTTAAGGGAAGTTGTCTGCGGGTGTCCCTGGGACCGGATGGTGGCAGCACAGCTCTGACCACCCTCATCAGCTTGATCCCGCCCACCCCTGGGGAACCAACAAGGCTGCCACCTCCCAAAAAGGCTGTGGCCTCCGTTCACCTTTCTGGCCCTGAGCCAGATCTCAGAGAACTCGGAAGGCTAGCGCTTCCCTGGACCTTGCACCTAGATTTTTCTTCCATCCTGTCATCAAAACACCCAGGCAGGCTCAGCCCCCCGCCGCCCTCGGCCATCTGGCCTAAAGGCCCTCCTGCCCATGGCCAGCCTTTAAGGAAGGGTGGTCCTGAGGTCTTAGGAGCTCGTCGTTCCCACAGGGTAGAAGGGGCAGCCAGTGCCACTTCCTTAGAGTCAGCCTTAGGGCCAGAGGATCATTTATGGAGGCCGGAAAACTAAGATGTGAAAGGGGTCTGAGCGGAACGGTGGCAGAGATGCTGTGCTCAGGCCCAGCCGGCTTCAGGGTTCGTCCTGCCCCTTCTCGCTGAGAATGACAGAGGTTTAGGGGCCTATAATGCCAAGAGAAACGTTCCAGGCAGTGGAAAGGCTGCACAGAGCACGCCGAGACCCGGGAAAATCAGCAGCAGGGGTGCTGATGCTCCCTCTGTGAGGAGAGAGATGGGAGAGCTCACTAAGCCTCAGTGGGGACTGTTTCCTGTTCTCACAAAATGCCCGCGCTGTCGCACGTGTTATATATTGATTATATCTCAATAAAAAATAGGGGGTTTGGGGGCTTCCCTGGTGGCACAGTGGTTGAGAGTCCGCCTGCCGATGCAGGGGACGCGGGTTCGTGCCCCGGTCCGGGAAGATCCCACATGCCGC